TTTTGGAATAATATAATATCAATTTTATATAAAATATATAAATATTAATTTTTTTATTATTAAATAAAATGAAAAAATAATTTTAATTTGATATTAATTTTAATAATAGTTTACATTAAATATTAATTTGATTAGAAATAAATAATTATATAACTTGATTTAATACTTAAACATTTGATCCAGGGTTTTGTTTTGTGAGTGGACGGTGGACCTCTTGTATATATATATATATATATATATGGATGAATCGAGGTGAGAGCCCGCGAGTATGGTTGTATCTCTTAAAATTTTTAAATTTTTATATAATTTAAGTATTTTTTATTGATGATTTATTTTTACAATTTAAAATTTTATAAATTTGTTGCTTTAAAATTATGCAAGTTTGTTCTTCTAACGTAAAGTTGTGCGTACTTCTCTACTTATATTGAGAGATAAAATGGAAAAAAGTAATAAGTCGATGACTACCGATATAATTTATCTTAAAAATATTTTGATTCATATCAATGGTGTATATATATATAATAATATGATTATAAATACATGTAACAATGTTTTAAGATCTACATATATAGTGTAATTTTTTTCTTTTATAAATTTAGGTTCATTGGACGAGTGAAAATAGATAGTTGAGATTTATTAATTATTTTTTTTCAATGAATATCTTCTCATTTTCTATTGTTAATATTAATAATATATTTTCACTCTTTTAATGATCTCAAAAAGTATTATATAAAGGATAAATTACAAATTTGATAATTGAATTTTACTTTCTCTCATATTTCACTCATTATACTTTAAATATTTTTAATTTCCTCATTGAACTTAATATATTTGATTTTTTGTCACTCAATCATTAAATAGTTAACGACGTTAAAATGAGTTATTATATAAATGCAAAACGACGTCGTTTTGGTGAAAATGTTATTTTTTAAAGGACGTCATTTTTAACTCCATTAACTATTTAATAGCCGAATAAAAAAAATAGAAGAGAGAGTAAAGTTCAATGACAAAAAAACTCCAATGTATTAAGTTTAGTAAGGAAATTGAAATCTTTTAAAGTTTAGTGAGCAAAATAGAAAAGATAGTAAAATTCAGTGATGAAATTTATAATTTACCGACGTCTAAAAAACGGTTAAAAATGGCGTAATCGGTTAAAAAAGTGACATGTTAAAATTTAGATCGGTTATGTTATATCATTTAACCGGAAATATTATCAAGCACAATAACATATTAGGTAGTGTTTATATAATGTAATAGGTAGCGCTTATATAATAAAATATGCATTTAACCGGAAATATTACCAAGTACAATAACATATTAGGTAACGCTTATATAATGTAATAGATACCACCGCTTATATTGACCTATTTTCTCATAAAAAAGATAAATTTCAACCGATTACATTGTAAATTGACCATATTACATTATAATTATCGATTTTGATATTTTTGGGATCGATATAATTTTAAATGTATCGACACTTTATGCGTGCACCTGTTTATGCTTTCATTTTAGAAAAAAAGTATCGACACATTTTTAAAGAGTGTCGATACATAATGTAGACATATTTGCTAATTAGCCGATATATTTTTACTGGTTACATTGTAACCTGTTAATAATTATCGGTTTCAATGTATTGGGATCGATACTTTTTATAAATGTATTGACAGTTTATGCGTAAACCTCGTCTGGACAAATGTATCGACACAAATTTAAAAAGTGTCGATACTTTATGTTGACCTATTCTCTCATTAACCCCGATATATTTCTACCGGTTATATTGTAAATGTATCGACACTTTATGCGTGCCTGTCGTTTGGCCATTCATTCTAGACAATAAGTATCGACACAAATTCTAATAGTGCCGATAAATTATGTTGACATGTTTTATAATTAACCGGTATATGTATACTGGTTACATTGTTAATTTACCTATTACATTATAATTATTTGTTTCGATGTTTTTGGGGTCGATACTTTTGGAAAATGTATCGACACATATATTTACATATGTATCGAAACAAATCTTTGTATTTACTAATTTTTTTAAAGTATCGACACTTTATAGGCACTATAACTTCTTCTCTTTTAAATTCTAAAAGTGTCGATACTTTTATTAAAGTATCGACACTTTCAACATATACAATAGTTCTTTATCGGTTTTGTCATTTTGAGACCGGTTTTGTCATATTTTTAGCTGTTATATTGTTATGGATCGATACATTTTCATAAAGTATCAACACTTTTTAGACGCTATAACTTCTTCTCTTTTAAATTCAAAAAGTGTTGATACTTATATTAAATTAGCGACACTTTCAACATATCCGGTAGAGCTTTACCAGATTTTTCATTTTGGGACCGGTTTTGTCATATTTTTACCTGTTATATTGTTATAGATCGATATATTTTTTTAAAGTATCGACACTTTATAGGCGTTATAAATTATTCTCTCTTTTAAATTCTAAAAGTGTCGATAGTTATATTAAATTATCGACACTTTCAACATATTCGGTATTGTTTTACCGGTTTTTTCATTTCGAGACCGATTTTATCATATTTTTACCTGTAATATTTCTATAGAGCGATACATTTTTCATTTGTATCGACACAAACCGACAAGTTAAGTTTGTCGGTTGCCAAATTTTTTAATATTTCTTCATAATTTAAACCTACTACATTATTATTACTCAATATTTCCGATAACGCTAACCTGAATTTGTTAAATATATTATAATGTATCTGATAATGTTATATATTAATCGTATATTAACCTACATTTTCTGAGACAATTCCATAAGACAGACGTAAGCTTTTAATGGGATTCACAGCGCTTTTTATATAAAAACAAAACTAATTTTTATTTTCTTTGTAGGACAAAACAAAAGGCATTGACTTTCGTTCTGGTTTGATGGGGACTGAGTTGGTTGATTTTTATTATTGGGGGTGGGGGGATTTCTTCTTTGCAGGGATCAACCAAATCTTGGTCGAGCGAGGGTGGCGGTGTAGCCAAAATAATTAAGCAGCTAGCTTTGACTCTTCCCTTGTCGGGCACCCCTAGGTGTTTTTCGATTTTCTTCAAATTTATATTCACCAGAAACCAGACCAAATAAAATGGTACAAATACATGGTTAATCTATTTTAAAGGTTAAGAGGTGGTGGTCTGTCAAAGGGCCACAGACTACCAATGTCCATGTGCACGAGTTTAATGTCTGGAACCAATTTGTCTTTTTCATCCCAATTTATACTCATTGTGTTATTTATATCAAGCATCGGTTTTTAGGATAAGCAATATTCGATTCGATTTGAAAACTTAATTTTTTTCTCAATTTTGAGTTATTCGAATCAACTTGAATTATTGATTATGTTTTCGAATTCGAGTCGAGTTTAAATTTGAAAATTTCGAGTTACTTGAAAAACTGAAAATTGGACTGACTATTTTGACAGTTTTGCAAAGTACTTGATTTCCTTTTTCCTTCAATTTCTCCTTTATTTTAAGTCCAGTTTTTTTTATCAAATTTGAACCACATGCTCCTAAACCATCGTATAATGCCTATGTGCTTCCAATTCCTCTTTTTTATATTTTTTTAATTTTTCAATTTAATCTCTCATCTTTTCATGATTTCCTTATTTCTTCGATTCATCATTCCCTTTAAGTTTATCTTTTACCAAATTTAAAACATATGCTCCTATACTACTATAGAATACCTATGTAACTTCAATTTCTATTTTTTACTAAAAATATACTCTCTTTTTATTTGATCCGTTAACTTTGCATTTTACTCAATGTGATATTTTGACTGCAATTGTTTGTAAATTCTTTCTTACCATCAATTTTTTAACTCTTTATATTCTCATCAATATTTTACCCTCAAAATATGTTCTTTAAAATATAATATTGTAAATATATTTTATAATTTTTAGATTGATTTTGATATATTAAATAACATTATAAATGTGAAAAGAATATATATATATATATATATGGTTAGAGAAAATCAAAAAATTAGAATCAATCCTTTCCATAATACTATAAATAATTATGATAAAATTTGTATAGAAACTCGAATAACTTGACTCGACTTGAAAAAATTTTAAGTTAAGTTTGAGTTACAAATACGACTCGTTAACTCGAATAATTTGAAATTTTTTTTACTCGACTCGATAAAATGCTCACCCCTATCGGTTTTAGCCCACTCACTGTCGTTTGTTCTCTTGAAAATGCTTCTAAAAGGTTGATATCAGTTGCAACCTCGAGGATCCAACATTATTGGTAGGGTCCAAGAACAGCTAAGGATGGATTTTCTAACTTGAAGACTGGAGAAGATACTGTACAAGTTGGTAACAAGCTTTTAAGAGCCTTAAAATCATGGTCAATCACCCAAGGTCTTCCTTTCAGTCTTCCAATCCATTGGCATTTCAGAATTTCAGTACGAGTAGTCAACGAGACTTTGGGAGGAGTGATTAAGGCCCCCGTGTGAATAACAGCAACGGTGAAACTGTAAATTTTGGGAGGGTCTTATTTAATCATGTTTTTTTAATTAAAAGGGTATCTTTCATTGTGTAAATAGGCACCCACCTTGTTACTTTCTTCTGGAAGTGAAGATATATAATTACCCTATTTATACCCCAACTATCACTTCCAAATATAAACATCTGAAATCCATGCAGGGAAAAAAACACACACACACAAAGGTATAGAGGCTATTAAATGAGGAGTAAAATTACATTCACTTTTTATTGAAAGGACGGCACCACTGATGTACAGGCTGCTGTATTATTACATTTATATACATGAATTGATGATAATCGGTTCCCTTATCAGCACTGTTCAGAAACCTCTCTCTCTCGGAGCCAACTGGCAAATTTGATTGATTCACATAAGGAAAAAAATGATTGAAGAAAGGACAATAATGTCTGATTCATTTGGTCTTATCCCACCATACCCTCTTTCTATTCTGTTTATATACATTACAGCTTTCAAGGGGTTTTGCATATATATAGTCTTTCTTTTATTTATTTTCCATAGAAAAAAATAGTGTTTTATAATGAATTTATCAGCTTCGCAATGTGGTAGCGATTGTGAATCTGGTTGGACTTTCTACTTAGACCAATCCTCTTGTTCTCAAACTGGGAACTTTGCTGAGGATTACGGGGTGAAAGGAGCAAGATTCATGGTTGAAGATGAAGAGGATGGCTTATCCATGGTGTCTGATGCATCTTCTGGCCCAAGACAACATTGTTATTGCCAAGAAAATGGGAGATTTTGTTCTCATCCTGCAACCACTCGACAACCAGACAAGAAAAGCAGCAGAAACAAAAACAAGATCAAAGAAGATTGTAGTAATAATCGGCACCATTCTTGTCTTGATGATACTGCCAGCTCCCCTGTAATAAGCTTCTCCGAGGCAAGTTTCACAATATCATACACACTAATATGCCTATTCGGGGTTCATTCGTGACAAAATTGAGTAACAATGGGTGTTTTTCGGTGTATTTACAGAAGAACTTCAAGGGAGAAGCCTCAATAGAGTTGGACTTTTCACAAGGTTTTTCTGGTACACATTTTAAGGTACTAAATACTAGTCATTACATTCTTGAAAGCAATTTACCTTCCACGATACATAATACATAGTTTTCCGCAGGGTAAATCAGCATCACAGAAAACACTTGATTTCCTGAAATCTGGAAAAACAAGTTCAAAACATGCAGGTTAGTCATTTGCTTTCAACTTTGTCTTAAACATTCAGATTCTTCAGTGGCATGAAAAAGAGAAACTTGCTATCAATCTCTTGGAACAGGTGGTTTCCAGGAAAGAAGCAGGGGATGACAAAAAAGGTAAACTGCAACAGCTGTTCTGGAAAGAGAACCGGGAGGGAATGTTGTAAAAGAAAAACAAATAGGCCTTAGATCTCAAAGGGATCTTTTATTTTAATGGTTTTTTTTATTTGATCATGTCAATGCAGTGGGAAACAACATGAGAACATTAAAAAAATAATTTCAATTTCTCTCTGTCAGTAGGTTTTGTTATCTCCGGTTTATTTTCTAGACACCATCATGCATTACTAAGTAATTGTCGGTGCTCAGTAGTGGTGGAATCAGGTTTTATTAGCAAAAAGAAAAGAAACACCATCTCCATCAGCAATCTCTTGTAGCTGCCCATGAAAAATGTGATTCATAGGCAAATAGTGAGTGCAATTATTGAGATATGTTTTTGGCTGATCAGTTTCCATTTCAAGATTATTAAGTGAATGTGCTTTTGCCATGCGGATCCTGAGAATTTGGACGACATGGATCATAGGAAAAGGACAATACTTCCCCTTCTTTGTCCTCGTTAACTTTGATAAAATCATATTTTATTTGTATGTATTCACTTCTAAAGTTAATGTCAATTGCAAACTACCAACGACGCCGACAGAACTAAAATCGGAGAAATCAAATTGTTATTAATGAATTGATTAGTGTTATATCTCCATCAACATCTCCGAAAAACATAAGGAGCATCTCATTATATTTTCTGTCTCAGAATTTTCGGAGATTATTATCTTCAAGACATAAAGTTTCCCGAGCCTTACACCTTGAAAAATAACAATTTTTAGAAATGATTTCTAATATACTCATATGATATATCGGAATCAAATCTATCATCAGTTGATCATATCTATGTTGAAACGTGATGAGTGTTCAGAATCGTTAATATTTGTTCGTTATTTCTTCGTTTTTGTGGATTCATTGCTACTGATTTGGTTGTGTTATGCCCATTTTTGTGCAGGTCCTTACTTTCTAAAATTAGTGACAAAACATACGCATTCTGTATTTTTTTATTATTATTTGGTCACGGCTGGAGACATGGGCACAATTCTGTGCACGATGCGGTCTGACGTGGCAGTTTCTAGAAGGTCCAGTCAGCAACGGTTTCTAGAAGACCTCCTCAACACGCCTTCTGGAAGATGGACTAGCAGAGTTGCATTAGGAGACTAGTTTAAAGTTTGAATTTAGAAAAAAAAATAATTATCTTTAGGATTATTTTATTTTATTTTCTTTGTTTATCCTTAGGCTTTGAGAGGCTATAAATACTCTCTTGGGGTAAGCCTAAACTCATCACTCATATTACAATTCTCTTTTCTTTCTAGTTTTATAAAAGCTTTCTCTTTTATTTTTACTTTTCAAGTTTTTCATTTTTCTTTTATTTTCAAGCTTGTTTCTAAATATGCTAAGTATGACTTTTGTCATTCTTAGCTAAATTTTCATAAGCCGAGAGCTGAAGCGATGACTCAATTCTAACGGGGAATTGAAACAAGCCCTTAATATCTTCGGAATATCTCTCTCAATCTCTGCGCTTATTTTTAAAAATCAAAACATTTTCCAAAATCAAAGATAGACTTTGGTCTAGATCGTTGTTGCGATTAAACGTGTGGGAGGAAGATTCGGCTTATAGAAAGCAAATTCGACTTCCTGGGAACACAATTGGCGAGATAGCTTTGCCAAGAGGGAATTGAGATCGAAATTGATGGTTATAGAAACAACAATCCGAGGCGGTCTCCATGAACTTAAACGGTAATTGATTTACGACAATTGATGTTGATTAGATCAATTTCCGAAGTCGGAATCAAAGATTGCCTTGGGTATTCGGTATACAAAATAGAGTCATGAGGATAGCCCTTGTAGACAAAGTAATCGACGTGAATCCCGAAGGGAAAATCTAATTTGATGATCTAAAGGAAATTGAGTCAAAGCGAAGCTTGAGGTTGTTTTTACCATATCTATTTTTCGACTTTAAAATCCTTTCTTTATTTTTACTTCAAATCGCCTTTATTAATATTTAAAAATCTTTTTACCAAAACCCCTCGTTACTACATTCACGTCTGGCTTAATCAAACCGAACATAAAATTATAATTTTTCAAGTCCCTGTTGAATCGACCCTTACTTCTCTTCACTACACATTTTCTTCATTTATTAATCGAGAAGAAGGAATTTTGTTTGACATCGAAAACGACAGTTGTCAAATTGGCACCGTTGCCAGGGACTTCGCCAAAGTTACTAATTTTGTGTTTGCTTTTGATTTATGACCAGGACTAATCCGGGCGCATTAGTGGAGAACAACCCGGAAATCGAAGGCAGAGCTAGAAGACTCCACGCATAGACACTTTGGGAAAGAAGGAGACAACAATCAAATCCATAACAAGAATCAAATTCAAGTGAAGCCGTTAATACAATTCCGATGGCCGATCCTACTATCTGGGAGTTAGCTGCGACACCTACTGAACAAGGGCCTTTGTGCATTGATTTTCCTCAAGGCGAAACTCCATACCAGTTGAAAACTGGACTTATTCATCTCCTCCCTACATTCTGCGGATTGCCAAACGAGAATCCACACAAACATCTCAAGGAATTTCACATGGTCTACTCTAGCATGAGATCACAGGGAGTAACCGAGGACCAAATCAAACTTAGAGCTTTTCCTTTTTCCCTAGCCGATTCGGCTAAGGAGTGGTTATTTTATCTTCCCCCTAATTCTATTACTACATGGGCTCAAATAACTCATCTTTTTGTTGACAGGTTTTTCCCTACGGCAAAAGTAAGTGAACTACGAAGGAGAATACTTGGAATCAAGCAGCTTGAAAGAGAGTCGCTTTACGTTTACTGGGACCAGTTTTAAAAGTTATGTTCTAGTTGCCCACAACATGGGTTAACTGAACAAACACTCATTCAATACATTTATGAAGGATTATATCTCCTGGAAATGAAGATGATCGATGCTGCCAACAGCGGAGCCTTGGTGAATATGACTCCTACTGAGGCTAGGGACTTAATTTCCACAATGGCTGCAAATTCCCAACAATTCCGCACAAATAATGAACCTCCTCGAAGGGTTCATGAGATAAGTTCATCTTCCTTAGAAAAAAATAGATAAGTTAACTGAAGTTGTCAACTCTCTTGTTGCAGGAAAGACAGGACCAAACAGATTGTGTGGAATATATGCATTACCTGATCATCCGACAGACAATTGTCCACTGATTCAAGATGACACAACAACTCAAGTCAATGCAGTTGGAAACTTTCCAAGACCTCCTCAAAAAGCCTATAATCCCTATGGCAATAAATACAACCAAGGATGGAGGGATCATCCGAACTTCAGTTATGCTCAGAATTCAAGACCAAATCAAGGTTATCAAGTGAGACCACCTCCACCTTCACAACAGCCATAAAAGACATCATTAGAGTCGATTGTCGAGAGGTTAACACTTTCTTAGGAAAAATTCCAGAATCGTACTGAAGCCCATTTACAAGAGCTAGACAAGTAGATGAGATAACTGGCCCAAGCCGTAGGCCGCTTGGAGTCACAAGGTAAACTTCCATCTCAAACCGAGGTAAACCCGAGGGAGAATGTCAGTGCCACCACTCTTCGGAGTGGTATAGTAATGGCGCCACTTATTCCATCAGACGAAGCAATCCAAAAAGAGAAAAAGACTGATGAATCAGGATCTTAGAAAGAGAATGACGAAGAACAAATTAACGATCCAACGCCATATCCCTATGACGTACCACCACCTTTTCCATCGAGGTTAGTTAAAAAGGATAAAAAAAGCTGAGGAAAAGGAAATATTAGACGTACTTCAGAAGTTGGAAGTTAATATACCTTTCATTGAGGTTATCTGAAAAGTTCCAAGGTATTGTCAGTTTTTGAAGGACCTTTGCACAACAAAGAGAAAACTTACCAGGAACAAGAAAGTGAATTTGGGAGAGCATGTCTCAGCCATTTTCCAACGAAAGTTACCACTGAAACTAAAAGACCAAGGTATGTTCGCAATACCCTGTAAAATTGGTAAAGTTGAGATAAAACGAGCCATGTACGATCTTGGAGTATATATTAATGTAATGCTTCTATCTGTTTACAAAATGATTACTAACGAGTCTTTCAAGGACACAAAGATATCAATACAGCTTGCCGTCAGATCGGTGGTCTATCTGGAAGGACTCTTAGAGAATGTATTGGTGGAGGTAAACGACTTGATGTTTCCCGCCGATTTTTATATAATCGATATGGAGAATGATCGCACAAGCATATTCTCTGATATCTTGCTGGGACGCTCTTTCCTAATTACTGCACACATGAAAATTGACGTAAGAAGCGAGACTTTAACCATGAAGTTTGATGGTGAGGTTGTTAAATTTGATGTGTATAAGAAAATGAAACACCCAAACAAAGTGGAGAGCATAAATTATGTTGGTATTATCGATCCTTTAGAAAACGAATTTGTAGAAACTAATTTTTCTTTTGATCTATGCAGGGAGTTAGAAGATCATGATAAGGAAATCAAAAAGTTGAAAAAATATTTTCAGATTGTGCCGATTTGATTCTTTCTAAGTATAAAGTTTTGCCTTCTATTTTGCAGGCACAAAAAATTAAGTCAAAACCATCGAGGGAGGAATCATTTGAGGAAATTATTTTTTAGTAAAAAAGATGTTTTGACGGACATTCTTTTCGACAAGATTTTTAAATTGGGAAATATCCAAAAAAATCTTTATGAGAGTTTTCAAATTTCGCATAAGGAATTTCTTAGTTGGAAAAAGAGAATGAAGTGGAAGTGTTTGTCACGGAACACGTAGTTTGAATCAGGTCGTCGAGCTAACGACGTTAAACAAAAGCGCTTAATGGGAGACAACCCATTGTTTTTAATTCTGTTACATTTTTATTTTTGTTTTATTTTTTTATTTCAATTGAGCATGTTTATTTAATTTTTATTTTGCAGGAAGCGAATATTTTTATTCAAACTTAAACGCCGAGGATTTGCGAAATTATGATTTGAATAGTGCTAATTTCGGAGTCTATTGAGCAGTAAATAGTCGAACAAAGCAGGAATAAAAAGACCCCAGCCGTTCGCACCGTTTTATTAAACGGCGTACGTTAATAAAACCCTTGGAGGGGTCGACGCACGTTAGCAAAACCCAAATTAATTTCCCCTTTTTTGATTCCTCTGCCACCCCAATCCCTTATTCTCTCACCTT